ATTCCTCTGGCTATTGATCAGGCTGGTGCTTTCATTGCTTTTGGGGGCAGAGACATAAGAGACTATCTTGATGAATATTCTCAAAACAGAGAAAGATTATTATCTTACCCAGCTTTCAAAGGGGCATCTAAGTACAACAGAACTGTGTATGGGACTTGGGAGCTATCATTTAAAGAAATTCAGGCAAGAGCTAAAAATGATGATTCTCAAGAAGCTGAGGCAGCTAAGAGTGCAATGTTTCTCCTGGCAATGTTTGCCTTCTTTCACTTTGATGGTATTACAGAAGAAATCTTTTCTTATGCTGCTACTCAGGAATATGGAGATAATGAGCAGAGGTCATCCTTGCCTCTTGCAACCTCCATAATAGACCGCACACTGCTTCAGCTTCACAAAACAGGAAAATGGGATAATTACCTCTTCAAAGAGGGAGTCCGAGTATTACTGTCCTTTAGCCTGATCAAACTGGTCTCATCCAAAGGCATCTATACCATGCACCCGCTCATTCATGCATGGGGAAGAGACAGAATGTCCTTAGAAGATAGAGAGAAATACTACTTGATGGCATATGGAATGTTAGCTTGCTCTCTTCCAGAAGACTTCAATGAGCAGCCATATCAGTTCAGAAGGATTCTGGTCACTCATTTGAGGGCCAATATACAGCATAGTGTGATGACAAAGAAGAAAATGGTTGATATATACTTTGATGATGCTCATGAAAAATTTGGGGAAATGTTGAGGGAGCAGGGGTATTACAGTGAGGCAGAGAAGCTTCAAATTCAAGTGCTGGATTCAAGATACAGAGCTCTTGGTGAGGAGCACCTACAGACAATCACAGCTATGAATTGCCTGGCAGATACATACCACAGTTTAGGAAAATATGCAGATGCAGAGAAGTTTGGAATCAAAGTTCTAGATATGAGAAACAGACTTCTTGGAGAAGAGCACCCACATACAATCTCGGCCATGAATAATCTTGCAGATACATATAGCAGTCTAGGAAAATATGCAGATGCAGAGAAGCTTCAAATCAAAGTTCTAGATATGAGAAACAGACTTCTTGGAGAAGAGCACCCACATACAATCTGGGCCATGGGTAATCTTGCAACTACATATAGCAGTCTAGGAAAATATGCAGATGCAGAGAAGCTTGAAATCAAAGTTCTAGATATGAGAAACAGACTTCTTGGAGAAGAGCACCCACATACAATCTCGGCCATGAATAATCTTGCAAATACATATAGCAGTCTAGGAAAATATGCAGATGCAGAGAAGCTTCAAATCAAAGTTCTAGATATGAGAAACAGAATTCTTGGAGAAGAGCACCCAGATACAATTTCGGCCATGAATAATCTTGCAAATACATATAGCAGTCTAGGAAAATATGCAGATGCAGAGAAGCTTGGAATCAAAGTTCTAGATATGAGAAACAGACTTCTTGGAGAAGAGCACCCAGATACAATCTGGGCCATGGGTGATCTTGCAAATACATATAGCAGTCTAGGAAAATATGCAGATGCAAAGAAGCTTCAAATCAAAGTTCTAGATATGAGAAACAGACTTCTTGGAGAAGAGCACCCACATACAATCTCGGCCATGAATAATCTTGCAAATACATATAGGAGTCTAGGAAAATATGCAGATGCAGAGAAGCTTCAAATCAAAGTTCTAGATATGAGAAACAGACTTCTTGGAGAAGAGCACCCAGATACAATCTGGGCCATGGGTAATCTTGCAGCTACATATAGCAGTCTAGGAAAATATGCAGATGCAGAGAAGCTTCAAATCAAAGTTCTAGATATGAGAAACAGACTTCTTGGAGAAGAGCACCCAGATACAATTGGGGCCATGAATAATCTTGCGAATACATATAGGAGTCTAGGAAAATATGCAGATGCAGAGAAGCTTCAAATCAAAGTTCTAGATATGAGAAACAGACTTCTTGGAGAAGATCACCCTAATATGTCAAGGACTGAATCAAAGGAAAAGTGTGAGTCTTGTTTACTATAGAGTCTAGTTAATTTTCATATTCATAATATTAGCTCACCATCTTTCCAAAATTGCAAATAAAATTTGCAACATATTTAAGAGAAAGGTATTGATATATTCCAAAATTTATCATATTATAGATTCTTATTTGGATTTTCAGTAGGATGTACAATAGATCTGACTCACTCTATGCCAAGTGTATCTTTGTACATATTTCCAACATGGGTCTACTGAAACTTTCCAAGCAACATTGCTCATGACATGTTTTGAGAATTTCAAACAGCTATTGTTAAACACATGTATTTATAATATCTGGTACAGTGAGAACAGCATTGAGTTTACATAGTAAGAGAGTTCATACCTGGTAACAGAGAGAACAGTGTTGAGCTGTCTCACTGTCCAGTTTTGGACATAGCTGTAGATGACAATGACAATGGGTCACCTTCCAACACCCCCCCTTGACTGATCTATAGTTGAAGCATTTTGATCCAGCATACATGAAGAGTGTGGTGGAGTGATTTGGTAAGTAAGTCAGTGATGTTTTCTTTGTTAGAGACATATATGTATAACATTAATTAAACATTTGACAATGAAATTGTGAATAAAATGTTCATGAATTGACATGTGCTTCATTTTGGAGTGAGCATGACAACTATGTATGCAGGTGACAGTGCCTTGGTTGTTGCAAAATAAAGATGTCAGTTGAGTTTGTGGAAAACTGAGTTCTGTGAACAAATTTCAGCATGAAAGAATGTTGGATATGCAGTGGGTGGTTGCAAGATATTCAGCTTCACAAGAGGAGAGAGCAACAACTGCTTGTTGTTTTGAACTCCAAATAAGTACAATTATTTCACTTGATTTAAGGAGTAGACATTAAATTCGATAAAATGCGCCCATCACTGGATTCCGTTTTCCTGTGAGAAATCACTTTTCCCTTCACCAAGTCTCTCACCCATTACAGACCTTTCAATAATTCATGTCCATGTGCATTTTTTCGTGAATAAAATAAAATAAATCGAATAAATGCAAAAATCACAGCGCTGGCCATACAGTGTATGCTACAACCCACTGATCTCTATTTCTACACCTAACAGGTGTCCCAACACTCATTTACTATGTCTAGTCATTCTGAGGACAGTGAAGCTCTTGAATTCCCATCCTCTCCTGGAGGGGAGCAGAGGGGCTGGGGGTCAGATTCTGGGGATGTCGGGGAGCCAGGAGAGGAGGCAGATGATAGGTCCAACCGTAAGGGTCATCCGGGGCATGTCGACATGGTAATGAGACCAATTATGGAGGTCCAAGAGGTTGAAGAGGATTCTGACCGTGACAAGGTTGATTTTGGTACATCCACCCATCAACTCCTGGACATTTGCTGTGAACGGTTTCTCCAGATTTGCCCCAAGTTCTCAAGATCCATGTTCCCGCTCGAGTGACCAACCCCATGTGTCAAAGCAGCCCTGCAGTCAAAGGCTCAAAGGTCAAGCCGATGAAAAGGGCTCGTAACAATGCCTTTACTGATGAAGAAGATGGGGAGGCATTGCCCGAGAAGATGAAAGCCACACCAAAGTGTACGGTCACAAAGGACCCAGCCAAGAAGAAGCAGAAACCAACAAAGCGTGCGCCGACACTGTCCGAATCTGATGACGAGCAGCACCCTGTTGTTCCAAAGCGACACAGCCGTCCACTGAAGCCCATTTCGGAAGCCAATGCTCACTTTGCAACCCCCTCTTCACTGAAATAGCACAGGCACCAACAGTTCAGCATGCGAAGAATTCCACGAAGGACAGGTTCATCAAGCAGGCACCCAAGAGAGCTGGGCCCTTTGAGCTGATGGAGAAGATGGGATGGGAGAGGTTCCTCTGTGAAGTGGTGGAAATCACTGGCCAGGAAACGGAGAACCTCGATACAACATCTATGAGCTGGAGTTTTCAGAAGAAAGAAATGTACCCACTCACCAATGTTGCCAGCTTCAAGACAATGGTTACTCAGGTCAAGTCCCTCAAAGATCCTTCCAGCACTATCATTGTCATTTGCCTGCCTATCCCAAAGGCGCAACAGACCACAATCTGGGCTCCACAAACGATGGCAGAGCAGGTTGAGCAGAGGTTGGGTCAAATGCCAGATGACAGTCTGTATGGGAAAAAGGTAAGGGTGCATCGTCGCACATCACATTCACCCTGATGAGCAAGTCACACAGCTTTCAATAGATGCACAACTCGTTCCCATCGTTGAGAAGCTGGAAGAGCTGTATCCACTTGGACAATGCCTGCGCCACCCTGACGTCTGCTGCGTGGCAGCTTCAAATGGATGGCACTTTGATATCGACACTACACGCATTAAAGTATGGGCTCTCGCGGTCGTGAGTACTCAACAGATCTCATTTTGAATCAAAATACTTATTTGGATTGGACATTATAGGTTCGAAGGGTGACAGATGTTCACTGCATGCTGTTAGGAACCAACCACTTTCTCACAAACCAGCAGATTGGGGGTATGGCTGGTGATAAGCATTTGCCTTGCCCTCAGATGCCTGGTCCCAACAGTTATACAGTTCATTCACCCTGGAACATGGGTTCAGGCCACCCTCAGACATATGGGTCTCCTCAGGCCTATGGATCACCCCTTGTATTTAACCAGCCCCAGTACCCAATGTTTTCTTTGTCTCCTGGATCCTACCATCCCATCCACGGCACTGGCCATCTGGCCGCTCCTGTCTCACCACCAAATTCCAGCAATGCCGGCCCGCACAAGGCCCTCCATGGATGGTGCATGACAAAGAATCTTGGAGAAGATGAATTCAGTGCACTTGTCAAATTAGGGTACCGAGTTGGTGACAAATTCGAGGTTGCTGAGCTCGAGCACTGTCCTGACTGGACATCCCTGGCATTCTTTGTCAGGCGTCGCGTTCTAGATGCAATCTGTGATGTCTGATACCCTTCACCTCCCCATTTTGTCCTACCTCCTCCCAGTTCATTTTGATCTATCTACTATACCCTCCGTATTTGTGCTTGCAGCTCCAATTAGTGTTTAGAAGTTAGGTTAGTTAACCGGAAAATAACCGAGACTGGACCGAACTGTAACCGATCAGGACCGCAAAAATTACCTAACCGATCCTAACCATAACCGCGGTCCGGTTAGTGGTTAGGTGTCATCCCAAAATATTCAAGACCAAACAAAAACCGGTTAGGACCGGTTATAACCGGTCTTTGTGTCCTAACGTTACACACAAATATTCCCCTGTTTAAACACTTTCTAATGATCCAAAAATCATATTTTTTAGTGGAGAATTGACATATTTACGGTGAATTGAAATTTAAGTGACTATTTTCCTGTCGTCACATGTGTGATAATGTGACATTGATACAACAATGGCAATCCATGAGAAACGCTCGCAGGTCAGGTGTACTCGACCTGCGAGGTTGTTTATGAAATATGCTGGATGCATAGGTTGTGATGAGAAAGGCTCACAGATCGAGTACTCTCTTTCTCTCTTCATTGGGCCATCATGCGAGGCGGTGTTTCACCTACACGCACCTCACTGGTGCATGCAGCATAATGCTTGTATTAGAAATATAATATAGGTTTGTAATTATGTTAGTACAGAGAAATAACCAGTTAGGACTGGTCATGTAACCAACCGCTAACCGTTACTAACCGATATAATCGGTTAGTAGCAGTCCGGTTCGGTTATTTTGGGTTTCGTGGCACAAGGTAACCAGTCTCGGTCTCGGTTAGAGCCCTTGAGGGCTCAATAACCGGACCAGACCGGACTTTCAAACATTAGCTCCAATGGACTGGATACTCTTTCACCTGTTAATTGTGCTTCTTAACCCCCTACATTCCACTCTACTTTATATAGTCTATATATATACCCATATTGTTAAACGTAACCACTGTCTTGAAACCATCCGCGTGCCTTATCTTCATTAACAGCTGTGAAAGCTGCTATAGTCAAGTCAGCTTCAGGATGCCGACTATTCTGAAAGTCTCGATAATGACGGCGTAGATAGGCTTTCACTTTGATTTGGATCAGTAACCAGTGGGTAAGAATGTGGCAGCAACTCACGGCAACTGAAGCTCTGCTCAATTGGATTAAGATCAGGGGAGTAAGGTGGAAGAAATATCAAGAGACAACCTGATAACATCGATTCAGTGGGCCGTACAACCAGGGTATAAGAATACAAGCACCTTTTTCCTCAACAACCTCCTGTAAGATTTGACTCTTGTGTGTGTTACAGTTGTCAATAATCATGACACTTTGAGGTCCTGGAAACGGATTCATCTGTGGGAGCTATTGGACCAAAATCTATGTCAGGGGGTTGGGTCAAGGTTATCATGGGTGCTCACCACGTCCTGAATTACAAAATCTACAAACTCTGATCCATCAACGGAGCCTTCAACGACTCGAAGGGCTATGTAGCCCTTCAAAGTGAGGGCGGGAAGGATGCTGTAACGAACACCCCTGTCAAGTGAGACATGGAGAACAGGGTCCTCACCGGATGGTGCAAGTCCATATTTTTGTATGAGGGTGCGATCGTCCTTGCTCGACTCGTCAAGGAAGACAATCTGCTCAGGGCTGTAGTTGGTTGTAACATTCAAGATCCACTCAGCTCGATGTGCATCGTCACGCTCGGCTGCAGCTCTTCGCATTACTTTGTGAGTGAGAGCAAGATCTTGAAGGTTGTAATGCAATCCTGAGATGGAAATGCTTGTGTCCTGCATGAGAGCCAGCCATTCACTTATTTCATCAAGGAAGAGAGACGGAGTTTCCCAAGGGGGTGGCGGAACGTGGAATTTGGATATACAGTTGCAAAAGAAATTAAGGCCCAAGTCTTCAACCCCCCCCTCCCTTTACCCCCCAAATCCGGTATGTTCTTCCCACCCTCCTATGTTTTTTTTAGAAGGAACCATTGGCTATTGGCAGCCATCACCTCTGAACGTCCTTCACCAATGACAGCGACAACCTTCCGTGGTTCTCCACATTCATCAAAGTCATCGACTGGCCCGGCGCCATGCCAACTACCTATGCACCCGACATCGATTCCATCGCCTTCAGAGTGTCGTGCCCAGGAAACATCTGTAAACGCCACACACGTCAGGACGTGCACAAGGCCGAGCAGTAGTACATGCGGCTCATCAAGACTCTCACGTACGCTGGCCTCAAGGCTGTTGGCCGACGAGGGGCCGAGAAGTGCTTGGTCATCTCCTCGTCTTTTTGGGCAGTATATACATTTATGCAAAGTAGACAGTTTGTTTTGTTTTGCTGTAGAAGCTATTCTCAATTCTATCCATGTTTTTCCATCTGACTTTGAGATTCTATCAAAAATTACTGACCGAATATGTGTGCAACTTATTAAATTAAGCTTCAAGGGTGCTCTGGCAGTGTTGCAGACCATTTGAATGTTTTTTATTAGAAGGTCACAAAAAAATTTAAGGCCTCCGGCGGATGCCCCCCCCCCCAACCCTATATCCGGGATCCACGTTCCGCCACCCCCTTGGAGTTTCCTCAATGAGCTGACGCAACTCCTCCACAATCTCTGTGTTCAAGATTCTCGGGTGGCCGCGCAGAGGAGATTTCGGGTTGACAACACTGTGGGTTGCATAGTTGTCCTCCCAACAAGGGGGTGGCGGAACGTGGATCCCGGATATAGGGTTAGGGGGGGGGGTGCTCCGCTAGGGGGTCGAAATATTTTTTGTGACCTACTTTGGAAAAGTCCTGCCAATAAGCCAAATCGCGCTCCGAAAGAAGTTGGGAAGTTCAGATGCACGGCAAACACCTAATTTACGTGTTTATTGTCGGAAATTTTGACTGAGAGCCCAAAAAAAGTCAACAAACTTTTTTATAACACCAGTTAGGTTCGCAAAAAGTATGGCAAAGTAGAAGTCCCTATTTTACATATATATTCTAATCCACTACTGTATTACAGACAAGTGTCGGGGTTTACGAGTGACAGCAAGCTGGGCTCTACCTTGGGGCGACACTCCTCCCACACGTCGTCACGGTCTCGGTTTGATGCAACTTTCGTTGATCCCAACGTACTGGATGCATGTCCTGGATACGGGGCCACCGACGTATCTGCCAGCGGGACCAAGTTCACCGCGACCCTCATTCTGGCGGGAAAGCCATGCAACGTCTTCGGGAACGATATTCAGAAATTGTCGTTGAGCGTTGAGTACGAGACTGGTGAGTTCGCTTTGCGTGGCGGCGTTCTGTACGTGGCTGACTGAAATGTACAGTGTACAGGATACATTGCCCACAAACATGTGAAGGTTAGTAGCCGTTCATCGAAGTTTTACTACTTACTTCTTGCTTACTCGAGTATGTTTTCGACATAGGAACTTGGAAATTTCCTTTTTTGGGGGTAAGGGGTGGGGGGGAGGTAGGTTGAGGGCGCCTTAATTCGTAATGTGACTGTATATCTAAAATCCACGTTCCGCCACCCCCTTGCCTCCCAACGCCCGATGCTTTTTTCCGAAACACCAAGGATGCTAGCAATTTCATTGGTATCCCACCCTAAGTCAATGAGCTGGAGGGCTCTTTGCTTCATATCTGCACTGATATGACGGTAGACCATTGGCAGAAATGTGCTGCAGAGCAAGAACAAGACGTGTAGTGATTTTTTGCATTTATTCGATTTATTTTATTTTATTCACGAAAAAATGCACGTGGACATGAATTATTGAAAGGTCTGTACTTCCCTGATGCATCAATCAGGTACATGTTGTTCTCGCTTCCACAAAGAGAGCCTATTGCCTACCAAATCATCCTTTTTGGACCATCTAATAAACCAATCGACATTAGGCCACTTACACAGAACCCGAAAATCAGCTCGACACGCAACACAAATTCCTTCCAGTTCGCTCTGTTCAAGAACCCTGAAGCCTTGGCGCATCGCGACAATCCGTGTTTTCTTTTCAAGCGCAACACCAAACGCAGGCTGAGGGCTCATCTCAGAATCGCCTATCCGCACCACTACTTCTTTCAGATGTCCAAGAAGCATTGAAGGCACCCGTCAATATCCTGCAGGATCGCGACGTCGGACAGGGGGAGGCACAAGGTGAGCATTGCCACTCTTTCTTTCCTGGACATCGGTCTGATGACGACTACAGAGGGAAGGAGAGACGCGTCGTTACCGTTGCCGGCCTCACCCAAATATGAAGGCCGCGCATACATCCAGCCAGCATCGTGTAAACCGCCGCCAAATCGTCCTTCACCTACCGCTTCACACAGAAAGAGAATTCTGACCAGAATATAGTCTAGAAAACGACAGAACCACATCTTTGGCCTTAATTCCGGGCGAGTCCAGTAAGTTATTCATAATGTATACGCCATTTTGTTTGACACATCGTGATAGACCACAAACCTAGTCGTCGACAATCCCCTGCCCTATCTGGAGCGCATACATCTTCTTCGCCGCCTTCACGCCCTAGCTCACGGTCTCAAGCCGTTTTTCCACGATCAAAAAATGAATTAGGTCTTAATTCGATCCTAGATATGTCCCTCAAACCACAACAAACTCCCCCCATTGTGAGAAAAAGGGATGTAAAATGAGCGTTTAGCGATCTCCTTGAGCATGTTCATTCCTTCATGATTCTTCTTGCTTCCATTTTTTTGAACTTTCTTCTTCATAGAACCACCGATATGAGGCTTTTTTTGCGGAATCGATTGCGCTGCAAACACAAAATGAGTATTTGTCTCAGATGCGCAGTGCGGCCACGAAGGATCTCAAGTCTGCGCGTGAAGAACTTTCCGCTACAGCAACGCAGTTGGCGTATGCTAGGTCGGAGCTCGCCGGCGCTCTCCCACTGTTGAAATCAAGGGAAAATGAATTAAGCACCGCCAAGTCTGACCTCGCCTCAACACGCTCGAATCTTGCGGATGCCGTCGCCGAAATATCGTCCCTCAAAACTTCTTTGGAGCAAATGGCACATTCTTATGAACAGGAAAAGTTGGGGAAGGAAGTGGCTGAAAAGAGGCTCGTCACGACGAAGCAAGGTCTGGCGACTCTCCGAGAAAAGTAAGTTATCAATCGATTCCTGTAGCTTCTTACTTATGCTAGCTTCAATAGCTACGAGTCACTTCATTCTTCCTTCGTTGCTCTTGGAAAGTCTCATGAGGCTTCGGAAGCTTTGCTTTCACAAGCTGTCGCCGAGGCGACTGAGATCAAGCGGTCTGCAGCGGATGCCTTGACCAGTAAAGCTGTTTCAACGAGGTTTTCGCAATGTTGACGACGTCTCCGCCACTACTAGGTGTAAAACCCCTCCTTGAAGCAGGCGGTGGCTTCTCCCGTGTATTTGAGATGAGAGATACCATTCAAGAACTCCAGGGAGAGTTGGGGTCATGTAAGCTTGCTCTTGTTCTTCATCCAATTGTTCGTTGACCCTCCAAAGCCCAGCGTGTGACTGATCTCCTTCGAGACAAGCTCCACCACCTATCTTCCCAGCTCGCGGATGCGCAAGCACAGATCAAAGATTTCGAGGATACGGAGCGTGGGACGCTAAGTGTTCTTCGTGATCGCCTGGACGATAAGCAGAGCTTGGAAGTTTTGTGCAGTGTCGGTGGGCATCTCTATCAACTGCCCTTGTTTGTATGGACATTTATGTTTCCGTTTTCTCAAGGGAGCAAGGTAGAAGACCTGACGGACCGTCTGGCGAAGCACGAACGGGAAAGTATCGATTCCCTTGCTGAAGCAGCTGGTGTAGAGGCAAAGCTCATGCTGTCACCCATGAGTAGGTTCTAACTTTGTGTTGGAATCTTACCGGACGTGTACTATCCCTTTTAGACTGCAGAACCTGAAAACCTTCTCATCAACAAATCTCCTTGAGCTGCAGGAGCTGAGGGTCAGGAGTGAGTGTACTCACCTACTTTTTGGATTCACGTCCACTTACGGGCTTTTGAACAGGGGCCTTTCGAAGTTGCTCGCGTCTCAAGAAGTCATCAACGCCAAGGACAAGGAAATTATCAGTTTGAAGGCAGAGGTCAAGGCTCTCGGCGAATCGAAGGCTGAGTTGAGAGCATTGTTAGTTTCCTCTTTTTTCCGTGTTTGGTGGACTTACGCAACACACACTACCAGGGTTGCGGAAGCTAAGAAAGCGGTTGCAGAGAAAGACCGCGAGCTCAGAGCTAGGGATTCGTAAGTGATGGCAAGATACCCTCTCATGTGCCTTTGACGATAATCTGTGCAGAAATATCTTGTTTGAGCAAAAAGTCGAGGACCTGAATTCGCAGGTCGATTCTGCAGAGGCATCGTTGAAAGTGTACGTCACCCATTTAGTCTCTTCTTGCCTTTGTAACGCCGTTTTTGTAGAACAAGAGAGTGGCTCGCACTGGCTGAATCCGAGGCTCGTGAGCGTAAAGAGGAAAGCGACATTCTGAAGACAAAGGTCGAGAGCCTTGAAGTCGCTTGGACCAAATGGTACCTCCACCTTTTGATCGTGTTTTATCCTCACCATTGATGAATACCGTTACGCTAGGGAGGGCCTGAATTCTAAGTTACAAACACAGATTCACGAGCTTAGCACAAAAGAAGGCCTGGCTGTACGGACGACCCAACTGGTTCAAGCTGAGATCAAGCGGGTCACAGCGGAAGCCAAGAAGGCCAGTGAGGAAGCGAGTAAAACTATCGAATCATTTGTTGCTCTTCTTTGACGTTGGCAATGGTTGGAACTGATTTTTTTCTTATCTTCAGGTTTCGCCAAGCGAATCGTCGGTTGGAGGTCGGCAATAACTTGTCCTTGTGCATATTCGTCACTGACATTATTATCAGAAGTGGTTGGATGAGCAAGATGCGGCGATAGTGGCAGGAAATGACATCAACAACGCACTCCAAGTGATGGAATTCACTAGCGACATGCGTACTCTACTGACGTTACTATGAACAACGCAGAATAAATTGGATGAGCAGACGGCTGCTTTATCGCTAGTGAAGGACCAGAGCACTGCGAATGAGGTGAGTCCACCATTTGTCATGATATTTCAATGATTATTGATATACTTCGACGTCAGGCAGGCGTTCAAGAGATTGTTCACAACCTTAGGACGGAACTCGCTGTTGTCCATGAGCAGAAACTCGCGCTTGAGCGTGAGACCGCCAACCTCAAAGCCTCATTCAATCAACTTACTCGGGAATCCGCTGCCTCACTGGCATCTGCTCAAGTGGACTTTGAGAAAAGGATGAACCAGCAGGAGAAGGCTAACGAGCACCTTGTCTCGGCGCAGGAGAAACGCACTGTTGCCGCTGAGAAGGTGGCCACTCTGGCGGAGAATGACGCTAAAGAAGCAAGAGTGGCGAGGGAGGAGCTTGCTGGTAGGCTTGCTTTGGCAGAGATGTCTGTGATTGTGATTGCTGAGGATGGCAAGGCTGCGGCGACGAGGGAGTCTGGGCAGATGAAGGTCATGAAAGCCTGAGCTGAGGAGTTGGAGGCAAGGGTGGGCGAAATGATGAAGCATGCGGAAACGCTTTTGAGTCGGTACCATGATGCGAACTTGGTAAGGTCATCTCCTTGTGAACTCATCCAGACCTGATTTCGACTTTTGTAGACCGACTTACAGAAGGACCTGGTGAATCACATTATTCTTCAAGTGCAACATTATCAAACATTATCCTTCAAACGCAAACGAGGACCTCGTCGCTCAGGAGAACGAGCTTCGAAGAGTTAGTGTTACCATGTGTGTGTTTGAAAACCCACTGACCTTGATCTCCCAGTGTGAATGCCTCGCAACTGGCCTCCATAGTAGAATTCAGTCTTTGGACGCAGCACTGGCGCAGATGCTCCAAGAGAGGGCCAAGAGTGCTGGGCCTGACGCGAAGACTTTGTTGAATTTCCAGATGTGACTGCCCTCGAGCCCAATTGACGAGTCATTGCAAGCTTTGGTAATGTCCCCATGTATACACTCCTCTGACTTTATCTTTATTGGCTCATCATCATCATAGGCCGATAATGCAATGAAGCAAACGATCCTGAAGCGGCGCAGCGCTCATCACCAGATCCAGCCCACCTCTCTTTACCGGCCCCAAGTCCCAAACAACTTGAACAGGAAGAAATGATCAAACCACCATCACCCATCTCAAAACCTCAGCCCAGGGCAACTAATCAAAAGAAGAAGAGCTTCAAGGCCCTTGAGGACACCGATTCGGACTATGAGTATGACAACAGGGACAACGATCTGAACGACTTGTCCGATCTGGAGCTTTTGTCACCAACAGGGAGGTCCATGAGAAAGTGGGGGTCGTTCTATATCACCGCCACCTACTGTGACCGTCGAGGAGCCTGTGGGGACAAAACGAAGCTTGGTATGCACGTTCCTCTGCTCCGATATTCCCCCGCTGTTTTTCAACCCCATTTTTCTGGGAGTTCAGAATCCGGCTGTCGTTACGACGCCTATCATCCCGTCCCCGCAGGAAGAAGTTTCGGTTTCGACTTCCCCAGTAAAGTCCCTGATGGGCCTGCCAAGACTTGTCAGAAGAAGTGCAAGTGGCTGGTTCGTTCTCGTTATCAATGTCCTGTTGTTCGATCGTTTTGCGTTGCTTGGGACTCTGTTTTCCTAATCCGACTGGTTTTTCCCTGTATGCTCTGGCATCTCTCTCGGGTTTTGCTCTTAGGCAATTGTAAATATCTCCTCCTTGGCTAATTATGGACGTTTGTCGCCGTGACGATTGTACATAATTCTTACTGTGTTTCTCGAGTCGTTTGCACATCTGATGAAGAAACTTCTGTGATGATGAATGGGTTGGACTGGGAACGGAAAAACGAATGGTGCTTTCCTGGTGCTCTGGCCTGGTTTGAGAGTCGGCGGCCGAATGGGTCGGACTCATGCACGAGCCAGTGCAGAGAGCACTGTATTCGGATAGATGGGAACCAAATGAGAAACAAAATTCTTGTGAAGCGATGGGTGGCTTGCCGTAACAGGCTGGGATACTCGGCACGAAATAATGGAGCCCGCTTCAAAGGCCAATACAGTTTCACGTCCCGTTTCTTGACTGCACATGTAGTTGCAAGCTAGTCGTATGAATTTGGATCTACCTCGTTGAACAACCCCTTAAAATATCTTGAAACGGAAGCAAATTCACGATGGACGTCATGTAAACGATCGACCCTGGTCAGGCTCAGTATTTTATTTATAGATGGGGACGACCCCTCGGATGTCATAATTATGGACGTGTCTCACACGTACATGCGTATATGTTTCACAATCAGCGAAACCCGTCGTTTAGGAAAGTAAAAACCACCCCGACCCCGACCCCAGTTTTTTTTTTTTTTGGTCAAAGGGGCCGACGCCTAGAGTCTTAACCCATGGGCCATCTAGGTTTGTTTTTGTAGCCCGTTGTTCGTTGACGTGTTGAAGTATGAGTAAAAATGACTAGGGTTCTGCCGCGAGAGCAGTGATGCTATGAATAGAACATGGTGTGTTTCCCACTACGACGACGTCATCATTCCTATCAACTCGCAGTCAGTTATTATTATTATTAGATACATTACAGTGTGATTGAACAGCCTCAGGTTATGGACACCCCAGATTTCTTTTTTTGTTGGAACTTGCCAGTGGCCGGGCGGGTTGAGTGGGATCGTTGGAGTGGGATATAGTTGGGGTCGAGCGTGGTGGTCCTTGTGAATGGTGGTTCATGTGTTGCAGTAGTGATAAAACTTTGTTTTGAAGGCAGAGGCGAGCCGATTCACTTGATTTATAATGGGCACCTGAATAAAAAGGTTAGACCGTGAAGTAATAACAGAACTTACCCACTGACTCCATTTCCGACAACGGAGATAAAAATATACCTACATAGTTGCCGGACACCGTGTAGGATTGAAATTATTTTCAACACGAAAAAAAAAAAACCGACGCCAGTGCCAGTGGTACGCGTGTCGTCATAAGGATGTGCGTGCTGGTCATCCCGGGAGGATCTTTGAGCAGCACGCACGGCGAGGACCTGCAGATGTAGGATTCAGATATGAGTTTTGACTTGTGGTATTGTTGACTTGCATAGTTGTACTGTTTCGTGAAGTCATTCACAATACTAATTCAAGTCAGCGCATTCCGAGCCATAAAACCACAAGACTCTATAGCATCCAAAACGCAACGGTCACCACCCCGTCAGATGCCAATATAATCATATCGTCGAACAACTGACAGTTGAACGGCTGTCACCTTGAACTTTCAAGTTCGGCCTGTCCCGACGGGAGTCACAATGTACCTGAGCTTTGTGGTTCGAGTGGAATCGAACAGCCTGCTTGGAGACTGAGAACAGGTGAGCCGGCAATGGCAGTTGAATATTGAATGACAAGCTTGAGTGTTGACTGTCACGCCGGTTGACGCGTTGACGTGCCTTGAGCTTGGGTGGGGTGCCTTGCTTCGTCCTTGGGCCTTGGCTAGCCTTGGGTAGATAGATGCCAGACGCCAGTGCCATGCTTTTTGCACGTGTGGGCAGACGCTGGTGTAGTGTGGTCAGGTTTTGTAGACGTGTGCACTGCGTGGTTGGTGGATAGATAACAGGGCCACCACTATCTTTTTTTGTTTCTTTGGGCAGGCTATGCTTGAGATGAAATGAGGTTCAATTGAATTGAAAAAAAAGAGTTATGAGGGTGTAAGGAGACGTCGACTTTGCTCCAGATAAGATTGCAATTTCCCAAAAGCGCCAGGTTGTTACTTGCCGATTTTCTTGAGGCTGCTTGATGACGCGGTTGCCTGCCCCTGTGAGTCACTGCTTAGATTAGATCATGGTGACGTATATAGAGAGCGATCAGGGGGTGGTGAAAGTCGGCGGAGAGTAGTCACAAGAGCCTAGACGAGGAATGTAAAGGCCTAGGGAACCCGAGGAAGCCGGCGGATGGATCATGAGTGGTGGTGATAGCTATGGGTACACTTGACATGACATGACGTCGCATGTCAATGTCAGTACGCCAATGTAAATAAGGTTGGGGGAAACATGGGGCTTTGGAGAGAAGCAGGGTGTAATTTAGAAAGCAGTGTAGGCTGAGGAACTTGTACTGTTGGCGGCTGGGCTCAGGTCTGTATTTGGTAAGAGAAGTTGATTTCCGAGGGGTGTTTGGGGGAACTGGCACCGCTTCTTCATGAATTCTGAGTGCGTGACAATATGAAATGAAAACTAATAGCTGCCTGTAGGCATGGGTGACAACGCGTATGTTTTCCGTGAATAAACAGCTGGTTTCAGTACTGTTTCAGTATTTCTTCTTGAAAGTCATACGAAAACTTAACGAAAACCTCTTTGCATATCCACATAAGTATTCATATTGATTGTTTGGAAAGTCTGTAGCCGTAGATTGGACTTTCATATGTTTTCTGCGAAAGAAAACACTTGGAAAACACTTTATTTCCATTATACAAAGTATATTGAACGATATCTTTGGAACTTGAAGTCATAACTCATGGTGTGGTCATGTGATGTTACCACCCTGTTTTTGGCCACGTCCGTCGTCGATTGTATTTTCTTATGTCTCTCTCAACACCCTCGATTTGAATGAGCAAAAGCCCTCGCACCAAGCATGGCCTGATTTCAGTTAGAGTGTGTTGTTTCCACCGTTCTTTTCACTAATCTCACACGTAAATTTCTAGGTACTACTTTCTTTGATATTCAGAAGCTGCGGCGACTCCAACGTGCACGCATGGATTAACCGTGAATTGAATAAAAGCTTCGCTGTATGATCCCAGCCAATTGACGTCCTTTCCATGTAAAGTGACCCATTTTAGCGAGCTGCAGTGTGTTTTCTATCAATACGTTTTCTGCGTAGCGCTCACACGTATACTCGAGATGTTCCCTTATGGCTCTCTCAACACCCTCGATTTGAAGAAGTCCTTTCCATGTAAAGTGACCTATTCTAGCGAGCTGCAGTGTGTGTTTTCTATCAATACGTTTTCTGCGGAGCGCTCAGCCGTATGTTTTCCTATCTTTCTTTTGAAATCTCACTTATGGTTCCGAAAGGATGCCTGTGCGGATTACTCTTGTACGAATGAGGAAGTTTACGAAGGTTGAGATGGTTGGGATGCACAAGGTCATACCTTTGCGAAATAATATAACTACAACTTTCGTCGTCATCCCAAGTACCAGTGCAAGCACCCAGACAAGTTGGAAAGCCCATGGCAGGAGAACACCAGGCACACGTACATAATTTTCTGTGGCTAGTCCTCGTCTTCTGCGAGACGTGCCAAGAAACCTGTTCTCGAGGTGATTTAGTGCACGCCTGTGCCTCGAAGGCAAGCCCAGGTGTGATAGAAGAACCCGATTTGGCGGTGTCCTCGGCATCGCAGCAGCGGCCTTTTGACTCCAGGCGGCGGCAAGGTGCATTACTTTCTGTTTGATTCCTATTGTCCCGAAATTTACACTCATACTCATATGAAACTTAAAGGTGCTACCTGACCTGATATGCAGTTCTGCAACTCCAATTCAGAACTACCATCCACATGGACTGCCCGCAATTTGAATGCCGCAATTCGTCTCACAGCAGTTGCGGTTGTGTACAACTTATATAAATAGTCTGCTTGTTCACCTCAGTGATCAGTTGAAGACCCTTTCAATGGTCGAACTGCGGTTTTCTTCCAGTGCTTGCCATCCTGTACCGTGCTCACTTCGGCGTTATCACCGTCCCGTTGACGTTTCGATAGCCAAATCGCGCTTGTCACCCTCTGCTTGTCCCTTAACTATTGTTTTGTCTTTGCCGGCACCTTCAACAAATGTCATCCCATAACCACAACCCTATGGGTAAAAATCAACATGCTACTGTCCGTGTGTATATCATCTCAATATGTTTGATTACAATGTCCTAAAAACAGTTTAGCGTCTGTGGATGACCCTCGTCTCGCTGAAGTGCTGACGAAATTTCATCGGGAGGGATTGTCCAGTAATAGCCGTATAAAGCAGAGGCTGTTTGCAGAGTACGGGATTTCAGCCAGGTAATCCATTTATTGTTGAACATCTTTCAGCCTAATAACTTAAAATCGTGCACTTGATCAGTGTCTCTTCTATCAAGCGTTGGAGGAATGACCTTCAGTTATTGGGACCTCGTTCCAAACTGCAAAAGCTCACCGAAAAGGAGAAAGAGCAAGTTGTTTTACAACAGCTTGACAGAGACCCTTCGAAAGGACAAGGGCTCGGGACTATCAAAAATCACATTGCCCACGACCAGGGTATTCAATTGGCGCGTGACACTATATCTGGCATCATGCACCTTCATGATGCGGATGCGTTTCTTGCTCGTGAGCCGGGGGCAAAGAGGATCCACCGTGTACCCAAGGCACCAATTGGCGTCCACGAGAGGTGGTCAGGCGACGGCCACGATAAGCTCTATAAGATAGGTTTCCCAATATGGGCTGTCGTTGACGATGCAACAGCGAGATGGCTCGCTGCACGGGTTGTTCCAAGCAATCGAATGGGTGACATAATCGGCTATTTATTTCTTTGCCTCGTCCTCAAATACAAAGGTACGTGATTATTACCACATCCTTATATTGAAACTGACGTCGCGCTCAGGGCTTCCTCTCCAGTTTAGTACTGATTGCGGCTCAGAAACGACACAACTGTATGGGCTTGTTAATGCTCTTCGGTGCAGTTTCCTTTCATGATAATTCTAATCTATCGTCCTCATGTCTCTGCAGCCAAATTTTTCATCCTGACTACGACATTGGTACGCTGCCTGCTCACTGTTATCTTCGAAGTGTGCACAATATCTCAATCGAGCGGTCTTGGCTGCGACTGCGCCTTGATTTTGGTGACAATGCTGTCACGGAGTACCAAAAGGGACCCCCATCCGGAAACTTCAAACCTGAAGACCCAGTTCATTCGTAAGTGTCGTTTTATGCATCGCTCGCTCAGTATTGATTGCATATTCTATTTTATTAGTCAATTGAGCCAGTGGCTTTGGTCTAAAACTCTCCAGCTCGCACTCGATGGTTTCACCGAAATGCGAAATGGACAGAAGATGCGTAAAGATAATGAAAAGGCTGGTCCCTCTGGTTGCTCTCGGAATGAGGCATTCTTCTTGCCGCAGAACTTCGGCCTGGTAGACAAGCTACTCCCTCTCAACGACGATCAACTCAAGATTGTATTCGAAATCAAAGAGTTCATGGGTGGCGATGCCCTCCTTGCTTTTGCATCCCCAGAGTTCTCAGAGAAGGCGGAAATTGCGTACCAGTCCTTAGGCGTCACAGAGCTGACCATACATAATGCGTGGCATATTTTCGAGGCCCTTCTTCCATTGTTCTACATGTAATTTCACTTTTTCTGGTTTTTAATAATGAGCAGATTGCCTCCCGTCCTTCATCAATTGATCACAATCAATCTGGGCTCAGGTCTAGTGGCTGAGGGCTCAGGTCTGTGTGACGTGGCCTGTCTTTTTTTTTTTCAGCTCTTCAACACCTTTCACTGTGCTCATCGCAATGGCTAAGTGTTCATACTGTGGTATTGACTTTCCACTTCTGGCTGACCAGGACAATGAAGCAGGGGTTTGGTGTGGTAAATGCACTCTGCGGGTACCTGGAATCTCAGTCCCCGAAATCGCAGCCATCAATGTATGCCTTACTATGCCGCAATCTTGGGGCCCACTAAAAGCTAAAAACTTAAATAGGACAAACCACAGTGTGTTGGTTGTGGTCTCACCTCCAGTCTGATCAAAAACCCTCTTTGCAATGGGTGCATCAAGACATACAGTACGGTGCCAGTTTTTCTACAATGAAGATGCACTTATTTCGAGTGGAACAGAGAAAGCACCCCACATACCAACAACCATTCTCAGGATACAAGGAGTCACGCCACTTTTATTGGAGCAGAATGCGACAGATATGGGGGGTACTGTTAGTTTGACAGAACGCGCATCGGCTATCATAAGTTCCGCCAAGGATATCAAGCGCAAGCTTCGGATCCCCGATTGAATAAGCCCAGCACTGCACATGGAGTAGAAGGAGGTCTCAACAAACTCAAGAACTTAAGCAAAGCGCAAACTGTTGTGGCGGAACGGAAGGCGAAAAGAGAAGAAGCCAATCTGGTTGGTACTGGGATTAAAGTTGGTGCAACGCTTTGGAAGATTCCCGAACAAGGAAAGATGACAAAGGTTGGATTACTCGCATATAAATCATATCAATTTAATCCTGGTGATTCCGGTGTTTCTAGATTGAGCCCATCCGAGTCGTTCACGTCTTTAGCCCAGAAACTGAGACGAAAGATGCACTTGGGACACTGTTGGGCATGGTCCGGAAACCATTTGTGGATCAATATCCTGATGCTGATATGTTGACGTGGTAAGTACTACGATCTTGAAATTTGCACTTCTAGTGCCGATGAACGGTTTTAGGGCGAATATTAGCCTCTATGCTCATGAAAACCAGCAAAAATACTCGTCGCTTGAACACTTCGATCAAAGGCTTCCTATGGAACAGTTTTACCATGAATTTGTCAAGGGGAAATTAGTGGCTGAAACGATGTTAAAGGACAAAAAAATTGAAATACGCTTTGCCTTTTTTGAGAACCAAGTCATGAGTGGGAATGTCGTTTTCTCTTCTTCCTTTGTCTAAACATGATTAGTTCCATGACGGTTATCAACATTCCGCTGAGTCGTACCACCTCCCAAGCAAATCGAGAGTGTCTTCTTTTACGAAGGCAACCTCAACTTTCGGATTGAGAAGCAAAAAACAGAGAACCGGGCCAGCCTCCAGCTCTAGCCATCAAGTCTCCGCTAGGCCGACCCGAACTTCATTTGTTTTTGCTGTACCAGATGTTCCCCAGCATGTCAATAATCGTGTGGTACTGAAAAGTGCTTTCTGGCCGACTACTGCCCCCCCCAAATGGACTCGCAATATCAAAATGGTGACTAGCTCGTTTTTACGAACCAAGGCAACCTATTCCCTTAAAGACGGCCTCAATGTACATTTTGTAACATCAGAGACTATGGAAGAGATACAAATTGCGGCCAATTGGGAAAAAGCTGGCGACGATGGATATGTTGGCGAAGGCTCTACAAAACGAGGAATATATGTCCGTGTTTAATTTTGTTATTTTACATGTTACACCTCATTAACCTTTCGTTGAAGGCGAGATTTTCAGGAAAAGAATATGTCTTAACACAGCCAATTGATTCTTACATGGACAGCAGTGCCGTAAAGAGCGTTTTGCAAGCTGAGTACGCCCTGTTATGCATAGGCGACACCCTGAAGCATGAATTTGACAACTATGCTCGTGAATCGGGTGCCAACACGCTACCAGGTGGGAATAAATTCCTCCTTTCATTCAATTCGATTTACCAATGATTCACAATGTAAAATTTTATTCAGAGTTTTACTTTAACTTTAATGGCTCGATCCTTGGGAGCTTGAGCCCAAGTCTTTCATCCCATAGCCGTCATTTAACCCATAACACTTTCATAGCCACACGTCTGTTACCCTGTGGCGAATTCGATGGAAAAATCAAGAAGTTCACAGGGAACAACGAATTTGGAGATGCTGATGATCATCTCACCAGAGCTGTGCACGCATTCTCTCATTTCACAGCCGTTTACACCCAACAAAACATTATCCTATGTGATCTTCAAGGCAAGATTTGACATTTCCCTAATTTATCAAGCTTTTCTCATCTGTTCAACGGTTTTCAGGCATGTTTGACCATGACAAGGTCATGTGTTTGGTCGATCCCCAAGGCCATACGTATGTTTCTGATTCATAAATTTTATATTACTAGGAATGAACCTTGATCATTGTAGTGCGACTACGAATAACAGTTGCCACGAGTATTGGGATGGTGGGCCCAAAAAACTTCAAGACCTCTTGAAGAACCATAGCGTTGCTTGCAAAAGTAACTGGATTTGTGGAGCGCTCCACTTGCGGGATGCTGTTGTGGAGGAGAAGGACTCGTCTCCCAGCCCTTCTGGGTATAACAATTTTGAACATCAAGCGGCAGATAAACCATGGAATAGGAAGCGTCGCGGTAGTATTTCGTTCCTGATGAACGAAGCGTCGAATCAGCAGGGCCGAGTCTGCAGTGAGGGGTCAGAGTAGCGTCGGCATCATTGTTAGCGCATGTAGACACATTTCGCAGTAGGGGGCATTAGCGAGTCCTTCCAGGAATGAAGACAAACATACTTACGCTGTTAGTGCGACTACCTGTGTGAAGAGATCAAGCGCAAGCGGATGGCGTTTGGTAAAGTATGCAGATGCGCGGAGGTTTTGAGCTTGGGTGAACTTGGCGCTGTAGCGATGTCGTCGTCGATCGGATGGATCAGAGGGGGTGTTCGAGCATAAACGTGACGACCTGAGCCCCTCTGCGCATAATCTGAAGCTTTGCGCGAGTGGTAGATCCTGGCGCTGTAGCCGCCTGTCTTCTTCGTAATTGCAAGTGCCCAATCTCACTTTAAGAACTCCCCGCATCTTCACCCTCGCATGCCACAGTCAATTTGTGCATTGCCAATGTTGAGAAGGAGTTTAGCAGGCGGAAATACGTCATATTGTACCCTGGAACACCCATATCAAGGTGGAAGGGGTGCAGAAGCCGCGGGGCAGGATGTGCCGTTTCGCGGACGACGATATGTCGTCTTGGGACCTGGAGGGGTGCAGGGCACCATGGATTGGGTGGGAACACGTCGACAGAGGCACAGGCACGGTTTGTGCAAGTAGACGTGTCGTCTTCGTGCCTGGAGGGATGCAGGACAACGTGGTGGAATCGACAACACATGAAGGGAAAAGGAAAAGACGAGAGAAGGCGGACGTCAATATGAGGCGGTGGCGTGTCGACCCACAAGGCAGGTTTACGAGTCCTCTGAGTTTACGAAGAGACTCGTTTATTACCTGGGATCTCAAGACTTTTTTCAGCGCGGTAACGCTGAAATTTGACTTTCTCCCACGAAAATGATTTCTTCCCACAGTTGAACGCCTCATCCTCCTCATTGTATTTTCTAGTCAAATCTACCAAATCATTGCTTAACACTTGCTTTTAGCACCCTAAGCATATGAATAGTGATGCCTCTGCTCTCTCTTTACTCAAATTATTTGCTAGCCCTGTTCTTGCAAGCTTCCTCAACATTTCCACAGTATTATCAACCCCATTCAATTATATTTCTTTATATTCAATGTATAACAATCAACCAAGGCCTCAACCTTTTCATAAACAGTTTTGTTGATCATATTCAGGGAGTTTGGGAGTATCCGAACAAGCCCACATGCATGCCAAACAGATGAGATTAAGGTGCTGAGCGATTGTGAGCATAAATTCAAAAAGGCAAATATACAATTTGACTTACCTCCATGAGGCCTCAACCATTTCACAGACGGTTTGGTGGACCGTTTTCAGGGAGTCTGGGGGTATCCGAACGAGCCCATGCGCACGCCAAATGGTCCAGATTAAGGTACTGAGAGCTTGTGAGCATGAGTGCAAAAATGCGAATATACAAAGTGACTTACCTCCATGGGAAGTTGACCGTTTTGTAAACGGTTTTGTGGAGCTTGTTCGTGGAATGCGTAGGTATTGAACAAGCCCACATGCATGCCAAACAGATGAGATTAAGGTGCTGAGCGATTGTGAGCATAAATTCAAAAAGGCAAATATACAATTTGACTTACCTCCATGAGGCCTCAACCATTTCACAAACGGTTTGGTGGACCGTTTTCAGGGAGTCTGGGGGTATCCGAACGAGCCCATGCGCACGCCAAATGGTCCAGATTAAGGTACTGAGAGCTTGTGAGCATGAGTGCAAAAATGCGAATATACAAAGTGACTTACCTCCATGGGAAGTTGACCGTTTTGTAAACGGTTTTGTGGAGCTTGTTCGTGGAATGCGTAGGTATTGAATCGAGTCCACACTCAAGCGAAACGGACTGCAGGAAGGTACTGAGAAGTTGTGAGCATAATGGTGAATATTCCGCTGATCAAAAGGAATGACTCACAAGTTGAGTCACGGAAATTTCCGAAAATGACGTACTTCCCTTGCGGGCTACCTTGCATTTTGAAGGTAGCCCGCAAAGGAAGTACGTCATTTTCGGGCAATGCCGTGACTCGTCTTTTTGCCCTAATGCCAACCTCTGCCCAGGACCTTCCTGTGGCTCGATTCGCTTCAACGTGGACTCGTTTGGATAGTGCTTCACGTCCCGAAAACGCTCCAAGAAACCGTTTACGAATCCGTCAACTCCTCGTGGAGGTATGTTTGTTTGTACTTTCGTGTTTTTGCACTTCTGCTAAACTCTGCCCAAGGCCTTCCTGTGCCTCGATTTCCTTCAACGTAGACTTGTTTAGATACTACTTCACGTCCCAAAAATGCTCCGACAAACCGTTTACGAAACCGTCAACTCTTCGTGGAGGTACGTCTATTTGTATTTTCGTGTTTTTGCACTTCTGCTAAACTCTGCCCAAGACCTTCCTGTGCATCGATTTCCATCAACGAAGACTTGTTTGGATACTACTTTACGTCCCAAAAACGCTCCGACAAACCGTTTATGAAACCGTCAACTCTTTGTGGAGGTACGTCTATTTGTACTTTCATGTTTTTGCACTTATAATAAACTCTGCCCAAGACCTTCCTGTGCCTCAATTCCATCAACGAAGACTTGTTTGGATACTACTTTACGTCCCAAAAACGCTCCGACAAACCGTTTATGAAACCGTCAACTCTTTGTGGAGGTACGTCTATTTGTACTTTCATGTTTTTGCACTTATAATAAACTCTGCCCAAGACCTTCCTGTGCCTCAATTCCCTTCAGTGTAAACTCGTTTCGATACTACTACACATCCCAAAAATGCTCCAACAAGCCATCTGCGAATCCGTCATCCCTTCATGGAGGTACTGTCTATTTGTACTTTCATGTTTTTTTGACTTATAATAAACTCTGCCCATGACCTTCCTATGGCTCAATTCCTTTCAGTGTAAACTCATTTGGACACTACTTCACATCTCAAAAATGCTCCAACAAGCCACTTATGAATCTGTTCATCCCTTTGTGGAGGTACATCTGTTTGTAATTTCGTGTTTTTTGAACTTATGCTAAACTCTGCCCAAGACCTTCCTGTGGCTCAATTTCCCTTCAGTGTAGACTCATTTTGATACTACTACATGTGTGCA